TAACATGAAGTGACCCGGATGTAGTCGGGTCGAAGAGCGGTGAAATTTCAAAAATAAAACGTAAAAACCATGGTCATCACGAACCATAAGAACCCTAAAGTTTCGAATGCAAATTCTTCAAGTCTGCTGCTTGAGTTCATCTTGGACAATATGGTCGTAAAGGTTGCAGCTTTCGGACATCAATTCCCATCTTACCCTTGCAAGGATGATCCAATAAAAAGGGCACCCCCTTATCAAATCCGACAGCTAGCTTTCGGCCCAAAGAGAGATGCTTTTAAGACTCTTTCATCCCATGCACTTATATCAAGCGTACGCATTAGACAGAACAGAAGCCGGTCGCCGCCGCCATTGACGTCGATCCCATGAGGATGAGGAGAGTGTTGGGGCTACTGGGTTGCTTCCGATCATCGTCCCATTCCATCGCAGAAGATTTCTCAGGTTCAAGCCGATCTTCCCCTGTTCTGTTTCTGTTTGCGAATAGTCTTATTAAATTTTAGAAAGTAGCGATTAATTTACAAAATTCTTAAAATCTTTTTTTAATAAAAATCGAATTCTAGGTTTCTTGCATTGCAAGCAATCATTTACAAATTCTGTAAAAACTCATTTTCCTTCATACCTTCAACCTCTAACAGATCCAGAAACCACCCGAAGAAACCCTATTTACATCAACACACCCAAAAAAAAAACCCTTCGAACTGATTCGCCAAACAAAGCCAACCCAGATCGTGTCCCCTCTCTGTAATCAGTCTTTTGATACGATGATCTCTCTAACATGTCTCAAAAACACAGTTTGTGCCTGCATATCCTTGACGAGGTCCTCGACAAGATCCGCCATTATCAGACCTTCAATTTCTCTTCCCAACACATTGACTTCCTCATCCATCAAACCACTCCATGGACTGCTTCCCAGATCCCAGGCTATGATCCCATCCAATGAACACCAAGGCTTCTCTGTCTGAGCATTCAAGTACTCCGACATGACCTGCCATGCCGCCTCCACTAGGTATTTGCCACGTGGAGGCGCCAAACCAGATGAGCTCACGAGTTTTCTCCTGAAACTGGATCTTGAAACCGGAGGTCCAAGCACAATCGCCAGTGTTTCGTTCAGCAGATCGAACAGTAAGTTGTGATCTGTCTCGGCCTTAGTTCCCGTGGCTTCGTTCTCTGTGTTCAGCTTCGTTGTTTTCCTGTGATTCTCTTCTGTTTCTTGGAAAACAGATTTCTGTATCGGCTTTGCGAACGGATCCCATCTGGATAACGATGATCTATCCGATGTTCCGTCGTATAAACCAGAAGCTACGAGTAGATCTCTCACGAATGCTTTGTCGGGATTCGCTATATTGATGGATTCAGGCTCATGATTAGCTTCTTGTTCGACAAGGGTATCCTCTCGTAGATCGGATTCCAGCTCGTTAATCTGCCTTCTCAGCTCTTCATCAGTTGAAAAAGAGCAAAAAAAGTTAGTCGAAACACTCGACAAACTACGTGAAACTCCGAGAAAACGGATGTTGCAGAGGAAAAAGAACGAATATTCCGACTTTCCGTACCGCTTAGATTGGAGCTGATATCTCTGAAGACTCGTGGAAAGCCGTTTTCATCGGCTATACTGACATCTGGTGTCGAAACCGGGCTTAGATAATCGACATTCCTCCAGAACTCATCAGGAGTGTTGCTGCAGGCTGAAGCTGGGCTCGGAGGCACTTCCGTTGAATTCTCCTGAGGATATCGAGAGAAGGGCTTTTTGATTAGATAACGGGGACAAATCGACAAAAACATGTGATAGAGGTCGAGAAAAATCTTACGTTTCTGTCGTAAAAGCTTGTGAATCTTGAGCCAGTGACGAAATCTTTGATGTATTCATCCTCGAAGCTATTTGATTCGATCATTGAACGTATTTTCTTACCGAAGATCTTTCCTCTAAGAGTTGATCTGATGCTGGAGACTTTCTTTCTGAGATTGAATCTCTCTTTCCTCCTCCTGATTGGATCGATGGATGGTTCTTGTTCCGCTGATTCGTGCTTTCGCCTGATCTGTGCTCCGGTCAGGACATTCCGATCTTCTAACAGAAGCTTGCCGAATGAAGTCCCGGAAACTGGAGCTGATAATGACCTGATAAGATTTCTCGGCGATGAATCTTTCTTACCAGAAACTTGATCTCTGACATCGTTGTAACCATTACCACGCCCGAGAGATCGGTTTCTCGTGTCTTCTTGTTCATCCGATTTCGAGATTTCCCTGATTTCTTTCAGCCTTCTCTCCATATCTGACACGGTTGGCCTCAACCTCTCTGCCAAGAGCCTCCTTGTATCTCTACTTACGAATTCGGGAGAGTCTGATGCATTGAACTGAACTTCACCCGCGTAAGATCGGGTCGATTCAGACCGAGGAAGATGATTGTTCCTCCCGATACAGACAGTCTTCTTCGTGTTGTTCTCATCATCAACATCATCCTCGTGCAAAGGCCGTTCACTGAAAGGAGTCTCGATCCCGCTTCCCCTCACGGTTGAGCTTCTCTTGAGGGTTCTTCCATGGAGTAGCTCGCTCTTGAGACGGTCCTTCACCTCCTCCAGAAAATCTTCTATGCTTCCTCGGCTCCCGTCCATCGTTCCTGACGATGTCGTTAACGAATCTTCGTAGTCGTAAAATCTGTGAGGACCGGGCTTTAGAACTACAATCTTCGTAGGAGCTCGGTCTGATTTCAGGTTAAACTCTCGGCCAAAGCTTCTAGTTCTTGTGAAAAGCTTGTCCTTCTGGTCGTGAACCACGAGCCCAGAATCACATCTGAAACCATCCGTCAAGCCGCTTCTGCCCGTCATTCCTTCCGAGACTTTATGTTCTGTCTGAATCAGAGGCAGATTCCCGTGGTTGCCCGGATCAATGATTCTAGAACATTCTTTGAATCTCATAGCCTGCCAGGCCTCGAACTCTCTCTTGAACCTCTGCAACTCCTCTTCCTGAGGATGTTCCCGACGCTTTGGCCTCTCGTATCTCTCCAAGTTGGAAGATTCGGTTCCGTTTCCCTCAAAAGCGGTAACCGAAGTCCACCCTTTTCTACTTCTTCTCGCTCTCTCAGGGAGGGCATCGACTCCCATAAGTTTCGCCACTATGCTCGGAGTGTTTTGCTTGTCGTTGGACGAACAACGTTTCGAGAGCTCCTCGGCTATGTGCTTCTTCAACGAAGCCTCGATAGGATAGCAGTTCCTCTCGTGCCATTCTTCTTCGAATCCATAACTCATCTGAAAACCATTCAGAATCCAAGGAAGACGATGACTTTTACACCGAATCATTTGCCGGGTTTCAACTTCAGATACTCAAAAGGAGTTCTTGTCTGAACAGAGAAGTTAACAGCATTACCTTGGTGTCTTTCATGTCACTGTATGCCGGAAAGTTCTCAACCTGAAGCTCGAGACTGTTCCTGGGAGCTTCCAGATCTGCCGGAACAGTTGGAAAAATGACAAAAAGAATAGGATGAAATCCATGAAAATATCTCTGTAATATCATCACCGGGCACAGAGATATTCACCTTCATCGCGATTCTTCCTGGGGAAAACTTTCTTGGCGAAGTCGTTGCTATGAAAATCGAAGAGATGCAACAAACCCCCCATTCTTTGTCCACTGGATCTCCGAGAAAACTTTTTTTTTTTCTTTCAAAAATCAAATAATGGCGACAGAACTTTCGATCCGAACCATCAAAAAGAGTCCTGCAGAAGGACGAACATGATCAGAACCCGGCAACAAGTGTCAACTCCGGCAACTAAATTGATGACCCGGAGCTGGTTACGAACCCAGAAAGCAGGAACTCGCGTGATGAACTGAAGAGAAGAAAATTCAGACGATAAGACAGAGGGTGTAGTTGAAAACAGAATGAACAGAAGAAAGATGTCCTTTTCGGACAGAACTGATGCAGAGGAAACTGTGTTACAGTGGCGACGGTAACCAGATTAGCAGGTAAACCTTCAGGATCGATCGATCGATCGATCAGTTCAACTTCATCTGTTCGATCAAAACAAATGTCTACCAAAAGCTTACGCCGCAGAAATCGAGACAACCGAACCCATACAATCACAATAGACGCAAACACGAGGATGCTCAATCAGAAACCCGGAAATCTCGAGCAATCCAAGAGTGAGCCTATGGCCCAGAAAAAAAAAGCAGGGATCATACAAAATCCCATTTTCGTACAACCATCAAGAAATCGAGCAATCGGCCCGAAAAGAGGAAGAACCCGCTAATGCAAAGCTCAATCAGCAATAGGTGAGGGAGAATCGAATCATACCAGAGGAAACGCGAAACCCAGGAAGAATAAAGATAAGGGCCGGCGATCTCGGAAGAAGAGAGAGAAGGGCAAAGCACGAAATCAGAAGAAAACGCCCCCAGATGACGGAAACGGGGAGAGAGAGAGAGAGAGTATAAGAAAACTTAGAAAACGGATCGAAGCTCGTCAGAGTTCTCCATACTCGTTTTCCTGTAACGTGGAAAGAAGAGGAGGAGGAAGAGGAAGAAGAAGAGTAGTTGAAGCAATAAATTAAAATAATCGAAAGTATAATTAAGAAAAATAATGCAATAATTCGTTCGAAAAGACAGCTTATAAACTTAAGACGAAGCACGTAACGACCAGCTCATGAACGGACATCATCCCACCCCTTATTATTAATTTATTGTTTATGTTTATTATCATTGTTTTTTTTTGTTAAAGTATAATTGTTATTATTACTAATCATATTATTAATCTTATAATTAATTATCAAGATTTATTTTGTCCATGTTCCCAAAAACCCTTTTGAACATTCTCTTGGACCCTGTGACAAAACTGAACAACATTGAGAGAGGACAAAGCTGTTTTTTTTTTAATATATCCATTAGTTAATTTGATTTGGTATAATTTATTTTCTTTGTGAGACCAATCCATTTGCATTGACATTTTTCAAATAATGCAAAAAAGAGAGCTTAAATTTATTAGATTTTTTTTTTTTTTGCAGGAAACTGAGACGTCTCTAGACTTGCAACACACTAACTCCTCATTATACCTTTTATTATATTTCTCCTTCGATTCTCCTTTTTTTTTATAAAGTTAAATATTATTTTTATTAAAAAAAACATTATATTCAAGTCCCACCTTGGGTTAGTACCCTTTACAAAAAAAAAACCATTATAAAATCTATCAATCATTTATTTGACAATTATTTTTGAACAAAAATAATTTAGTATATTTGTAAGAGAAAATATCATCAATATATATATATACATATATAATTATCAATCATTTCCGTATAAAAACGTTTATATATTTTATTTAGATTTTTTTTATAATTTTATGATTTTTTTATCTATAATTGTTGATATTTTAAGAAAGAGATGAAGGAAACTAATGGTTGGGTACGAGAGGAGGCGGGGAAATAATGGAAAAGCAAAGAGGGAATGATACAACTCATGAGGATTGGCTTAGTGGGTCATTTAGTTGTAAAGCTAATGACCCCATCACACGTTTTCTTTTTCTTTTATATAATATAATAATATAATATATGACATAAAATTATATGTATGATATCGTAGTTATATATACACACATACGTATATATATACATGATAAATAATGTTATTATGTTTATGTTTTAAATATATGATAGGAACGATCCCTTTGTCATGTGCTCCGAATCCTTTCTTCAACTCACGACCCGTTTACTTTTCTATCTACCTACATATATATATAGTGGATTTACGAAGGAATCTTTTTTTATTTATTTATAACGACCCAAATGTAACACCTTCGTTATTTCATATGTAGGGATATAAATGCATATTTTTCATGAACATTTAAATTTTATTCCACTCCCTTCTGTGTTATTTTCTATCTATTTTTAATAGTCTTTGATTTCCACATTCGCGTACGAATTAAATTTTGATATCGAATATTATCTTTTTTTATAACTAAGAGATTTAATAGATTTTCGATCCAACTAATTCTCTTATATCCAGATACCAATTAAATTACCATTTCTATATTTATATTCGAATATTTGATATAATATACGAATATAAATATATAGAATATTATCTATTTGTTGAACTCTCTTATTCCTTTCGACCGTATGCGTAAAACTCGTGCCAAATCAAATCTACTACTCGTAATAGAAATAGCTAACAAATCATAACCCAAATTCATTACACAAATAAATTTCATAGGTCACCTAAATCATTCCTATATCAAAACCTATGATTAGGTTTTTGTAATGAAAAAGTAAGATGAAAAATAAAAAAGGGATGGAAAAAGGGGGGGGGGGGGGGGGGACCGAAACAGAAACATGATGAGACCAAAGGGGACAGGCACAACTTTGGAATTTAACATAACATTATTATAATATGATATGATGTATACTCCAAAGTCTTATAATTACAAACTCTATAACCAAAAAATGGACCCTACCTACTCTCATTCACTTCTCTCTCTCTAAAAAGTCGTTCATTCAAAAGGTCTTTTCTTGCGGCTTCTTTCATCATTTCATCACAAATGCACCTCTTCTTCTTTTTCAAAATCATGTGTTATTGTTTCCAATGAAATGTTGAATTCTTTGATTGGTATTTTGGGTTGTAACCATATTTATGTTTTGTTCCTATTTTTTGTTTTTGTTTTATAAAAATTACACTAATTGTTTTTCTACATCTCGTTTTAGTTTGATTCTGTTTAAATGCAATTCGCTTCAATTTTTTGATTTTTTTTTTCAAAATATTCACTTTCTAAAAAATATTTTCATTCCATTGTGTTATTAATTTTATCCGGATTAAATTACTTTAGTCTAAAAATTATATAAAAAAATTGATTTTTATACTGATTTAAATACATTTACATATTATATTCGTTGGATTTCATTACGTATTACATATTATTTCAAAATGAAATTGTCCACCCTAATCACAACTATACAAAAAACTTATCTAACGAGGAGGGAAACACAAATAAAATATAATTTAATGTATACAAGTATATTAATGGGTCGAAGAAATGAGGCCTAACATTTGAAAAGTCCACATTATAGTTACCATAATATTTTCGGCTCAATTTGGTTTAGTGAATACAAATGGGCTTCTTGCGGGGATACAACCCCACAAAACCATACACCTGCTGTTTGTAACTTTGTATATAAAAACAAAACAAAAAGCAAAACCTAACGCAAGAGTTTTATATTTAAATTATTTTATATAAATGATAAAAATGGAATATTAATTATATATATATATATATATAATAAAACCAAAACAAATATATTTTATTTATAATTCTGTTTTAAATTTGTCAAAATCTTTCAAATCAATTCGGTTTAAAAATTCAAATTAAATTTGATTGATTTTACAATTCCATCTCTAAAACCGGATATGGAGTATAACATTTTCAGATTTTTTTAAACTGTCATAACTAAATGATAATTTTAGTCCATAAACACAATGATCGATAATCAAACATTATATTCTAGGCAAAGTAACATGGACAATTTTATTTTATTTTACAGATTATATTATTTTATTAGAATATCAATAAATTCTATTTAAAATTTATATTTTAATGATTTTTTGTTAGCCTGTTAATCAGTTAGAACAAATCCAACCATTTGTTTACATATACGATCGGATCCTTAACATAATTTTAACGATTTACATATGTATGTATGTGATGTTTTTTTTTGTTAATATATTTTGAGAAAAAATAATATATTTTACTATGTGATCTTTTTTATTTTGTTATTAAATCATGGTATGATAAATTCTTGATCCCAAGTGGCTCCATATGATTGGAAAAACGTCAATACATAAATAATCCACCGAAAGACTAAAAAAAAAATTCCACCTAATACAAAAAGAGAACTTAATCCGGCGAGTTCAATATATATTGACGAACGATCCAACCATATCCACAAAACTTTTTTTTACTCCTTTTATATATATTATCCTAATTTCATTCACATATATATATATATATATATGTATGTATGTCAGCGGTCGGTGACTATAGAACCCTACAGAAAAAGCCAGCGTAAATCTCTCTCTGTTTTCAGATAAAATCGGACGGTTCATATGTCGCCACGCTACTCAAAAGTGGAGCCCACGTGAATTTAACCCTGCCATGTGTAAAATTTGACTAGTCAAAAGAGGACTCGTGGTTTTATCGTTTTTTTTTTTTTTTTTGTTGCCTTCGTAATTTTAGAGACATATAAGATTAATTTTTAATTAATCTTATATCCAATTTCAACTTGAATAACTTAATTTTGAAAAGTGTTATCTAATCAAAGCTAACTTAAATATGATTATTTTTTATTCAATTTAATTGGATTTTATAGGTCCTAATAAAAATATATATATATATATATATACACGTTCGATCTTAAATCAGTATATTCAAGAACATGAATTTGCGTTGTATAAAGAAAGGGGATATGGCCCTTAATCACGACATCTCTTTACTGAATGCCGAATTCTTTATTAGATAAAGGCTGAAGAGAATGATCATGCTCCTTTTGCTACAGAAATAAAAATGAAATGAAAGCGAAAAACATCTTTAACAATTCCCTATTTTTGTAAATTTTAATTTGTAGATATTACCATGACACCATCTTTTAAACTAGGGTTTGCTAGTATACGCATTATATATATACACACACATATGAGTACATGTGGTATTACTGTCTTCATGATTGGATTTAAAGAGGTTACGCATGGAATTTTGGTGGATTAATTTTTTGAAATGAATATTTATTTTTGAACCAAAAATTTATTTTAATTAGTATATGCAAGTAATTAAATTTATAAAACTATAACCACTCCATTTTTAGAATAAATCTAATTATATATGTTGAATACGAAATTGACTTTGCATGTACCCAAGGAAAATGATCATTGCCTTAAGTACCCAAAAGATATTAAAAACGGTTTTTTGGTTTTTGTCGCCATTTTATAAAATCCATCTCTCAACCGTTACTTTGGCATTGGCAACTCTCTCTCTCTCTCTCACGAACAAGGAGATACACCATAGTCGGACGAGTCGAGGCAGAATCCTCCGTAAGACTCGGCATCAGTTCAAAAGCTTACTGTTCATTTGATCCATTCGCCGGATTCGAATCATTCGGTCGATCACTTGGCGGTTCGAGGAGATGTTCGTCAAGAAGTTCGTCGAGAAGGCAACGAAGAAGGTAACACCGTGACAGTACTATGATTTCTGAAACCTGTGTCTTGCCGGTTTCTGGAACTTCGATCCGTTCCTTCTTGTTTGAATTTCGTTTCCTCCTTGATCAATTTCTGCGGTCGATGGAAAGCTTCGTCTGAGTTTCTCCAAGAGGTCCTTCAGGTTTTCGAAATTCTGGAGTTCGTGGAAATCGAAGTTGGATCCGGTTTAGAGTTTCAATAAGGGGGATAAAAAACTTTCTGGGGCTTGAAATTGAAAGTGTATAGATGTACAGAATACGAGTATATTACGGTCGGATTAGACAATTAACTGGTTAATTTTGTCGGGTCACGCTCACACTCAGTTTCCGAAACTTGTGGGTGTCGATTGGTCCGAAGATGATAGTTATCGACAAAATTAGATTCTGATTAGATTTAATTACATTGACATAAATCTATCAGGTTCCTAATTTGAAAAAAATTACTTGAATATTCATCTGATTTGGAATTTTTAATCGTTGATAGCGATTTAAGAATGCATCGTTTCGTACCGAACAGAGTTGGATCTAAGTCCCTGAAACATGCCCACGTGAGGGTCGGCGATTATGCAGTGTCTTTGTCTGAAGCACTGATCCACATTTGAACCGGACCGGCCGGTTTACTCCGGTCGAAATGAATCGATTTGGTATCTTCCCAGATGACTGATCCTGGTTTCTTCATGCGAGTGTGTGTAGTTTTAGCCTTTTAGGATAGAACATGACTATGTAACCTGCAGATTCTTACCGTTGCTTACTCGGCTGCAGCCTGGAGGAAGCTCGTCGGAATGGCTGAGAGCCAATGACGTTGAGCCACGTGTCGTCTTCCAATATGGGATCCCGACCGGATCTCACTTGTTTGCTTATGATCCGGTTCAGAAGATTCTTGCAGTTTCCACCAGGCAAGGCTTGATTATATTTATACCCTTACATGTGAAGCTTTTCGTATGTTTTCGTATTCATCTCCTCGGGATTTTGTGTCTTTCTGGCTTCATCGTAGGGATGGTAGAATCAAACTGTTCGGGAAAGATCATTCGCAGGCATTACTTGTGTCGGAAGAAGCATCCTCAAGCAAGTTTCTCGAGGTCTGTCACTTTCTTCCGTTGTTCCTGTGGTTGAATATGATAACATGAAGTGACCCGATTTTCCTGCCCTCATTGCTCTTCTGAATTTTCAGTTTGTTCACAACCAAGGCATTCTTCTCAATGTCAATGTCAAGAACCAGATCGAGGTAAAGTATTGCCTCGTTTTCTTGACAAAATCGTCTGTTGTGACAAAAGGAAGAGTTCAGATTTTGTCTAAAGAAGAAGTTAATCGTATAGGTGTGGGACATAGAAAGGAAGATTGTGTCTCATGTTCACGTTTTTAACGGGGAAATCACATCTTTTCGAGTTATGCAGCGTACTCCTTACTTGTAAGTCTCGGTCTTGCATCTATATTAACTCAAGGTTAGTTTCTTCAGTTGGTTGTAATGACAAGGCATTTGAACTCGGATGTTTGCAGTTATGTCGGAGATGCCTCAGGTAATGTTACAGTGCTGAGGCTTGAACAGGATTCTGGTCAGGTCGTACAAATGGATTACACTATACCTTATCTGGCTTCCAATGGTAAAAAAAACCGAATCCATAAATCATTTCTCAGACCTATAAAACTTCGTTTCTTCAACTTGCAACACGTTACTGTTGTTTCATCCCCCGTAGGATCTCCTGTTGAAGCTCACGGCGACACTGCAGTGGTGAACATTCTGTTGCAGCCAATGGCAGAGGGCAAGAGGTACAATATCAATCCATCTTTTGCGGTGTTGATTGGTATGAATATTCTTTCTCGCCATGGGAGCAATAACTACATGTTTCTTCATTGCAGGATTCTGCTGGTGTTTGGAAATGGAGTTATAGCTCTGTGGGACATTAGCGAAAGCAAGCCTATTCTGAAGATGGGAGGACACGGGATCCAGTCGGTGCAGCATCAAGATGTGAAGAAAGCGACTAGCGCTTGCTGGGTTTGCCCTCACGAAAGCAGAGTTGCGGTTGGATACAGTACCGGGGATATCCTTATATGGAGCATTCCTTCGAAAGGTGAATGCTCATCAGAGAGTGGAACTCAGCCTTCTCCGATTTGCAAGCTTAACCTCGGTTACAAGTCTGAGAAGATTCCGATAGCTTCTCTGAAATGGGTCTATGGAGAGGGAAAAGCCAGTAGGCTTTACTCCATGGGTTTATCCTCAAACCTGTTGCAGGTAAGTTCATGCCTAGCAACCGAGTTAGAGAATAATGGAGTGATTATTTATGAACTAACGAGATGAAGAAGATGACCTGGGACAGGTGGTTTTGCTGAATGATCACACGGAAACTCGTACGATTAAACTGGGGCTTCATGCATCAGAGCCTTGTGCTGATATGGAGATCATAACGGATGCCAACGAACAAATCAAGCATAAACAGGAATACCTGCTTGTGATTGGAAAGTCCGGGCGTGTCTATGCTTATGACGACTTTATGATCGAGAAGTATCTAATCATATCTCAATCAAAGTCCCCACCTTCCCTCCCGGAGGAGATAGCGGTTAAGATGCCATTTGCGGAATCTAGCATTACTACTGCCATACTCCTCACAAACCCTCCACACATACTGAATCCTTCAGATGAGGTACTCTTTAACTTTTGAAAGAACGAGCTCATTCTCTTAAGTGTATTATGCCTATTTTTCCGGTCTATCCGAGTGAAAGGCTTGGCTTTGTGACTCTCATGATGCAGGATTATGTCCAGCTGATGAAAGATGTGACCCCGCTTCTTCCTTTCCAGACAGTTCTGAAAGAAGGAACTCGTTCGAGCACTGCACACTTTCCCGGGTTCGCAAAGGTTAAGAACGTTTTCATCACAGGGCACAGTGATGGAACAATCAGTATCTGGGACATGTCTTGTCCACTTCTCATTCCTGTGCTGTCCCTGAAAGAGCAGGTAACGTTTAGGATGTTTCACAAATGCAAATAAAATAGTCGGAAACCATTTTGCCTTTTGTTGTCGAGCTTTTTTTTTCCCTTGCAGACTGAACAAGAAATCTCTTCACGAGGCACAGCATTGACAGCTCTGCATTATGACAGCAACACCCGTCTTCTTGTTTCTGGAAATCAGAATGGAATGGTAAAGGACTTGAGTAATGTAAGCCATGGAGGCTCATCAAGTATTGCCTTCTAATAAAATTCGACCTATGCAGGTTTGCTTATATAGATTTAAGCCTGAGCCATATGCTACAGAGAACAGCTTCATTCCCTTCCAAGGTATGCATAACCATATAAAGTTTGGTTTAATTTTATTCAGAGTGCACTTATGGTTTGGAACTTGATGTTTTGCTTCCGGGCTTCCTCCTGAGTCGATTTTTCTCCTTGCAGGAAGTACAAAGAAAGGAAACAACCATATTGTCCAGAGCATTAAGCATATAAAGCTTAATGGCTCCATAACCTGCCTGCAGAAAAGCCAAACCTCGAGACATCTTGCTGTTGGATCAGATCAAGGACATGTGAGCTTGAACTTCTTCCTCCTCCTCCTGTCATGATTCCTTGATAAAGCATTGTGAAAATTGATTTTATGTGGTAACATGAATCACTTTTGCAGGTTTCTCTAGTTGACGTAGAGGAGTTAACCGTGTTATACCAAAAACATATTGCAAGCGATATCTGCCCAGGAATCATCTCCTTGCAATTTGATATTTGCAGTGTGCAAGGCTTCGAGAAGAACGTATTGGTGGTCGCAATGAGGGACTCTTCAGTGTTTGCTCTCGACAGTGACACGGGAAATATGATGGGAGCTAACATGATTAAGCCTAAGAAACCATTCAAGGCTCTGTTCATGCAGATCTTGGGTTGGTCCTGACCCTTTTTGTTTCAGTCAATATGTCATAAAGCTAAACGATACGAGCCTTTTAAGATCGTAATTCATGTCTGTGCAGATGGGAGGCATGATTCTACAGCAAATGGTTCGGACCCAGTCGAGGAGATTACGCCTCCTAAGCAGCCTTATGTTTTGATCTGTTCAGAGAAAGCTATATATGTCTATTCCTTGACTCATTTTGTCCAGGTACCTTACCTTATGTCCAGTGGTTATGTCAGTATCTTGTTTTCTTTCCCCTTTCTCTTATTATGGTTACTACCTCAGGGAGTGAAGAAGGTTCTTCATAAGAAGAAATTCAATTCCTCCTCGTGTTGCTGGGCTTCTGTTTTCTGTGGTGCTTCCGGTGTTGGCCTCACGCTGGTTCTCGCTGATGGCATGGTTGAAATAAGGTGAAACCTGTCTGTTCTTTCTTATTTTTATAATGTTCCGAGCATATTCACAAGCTAACCTCATGAATCTGTCTCTATTGATCTCTCAGGTCATTACCAGAGCTCACCCTACTAAAGCAAACATCCATTAGAGGCTTCACATACGCCTCTCCTAAACCGAACTTGTTATCCGAGACTACAGTATGCGCTTCTTGGGACGGAGATTTAGTCGTGGTACTTTTTAGAACACACTGCAAAGTACTCCAGTTGGAAATTTCAAGGCTTCCAGATGATCTTCCCCTCTCCTTGCAGGTGAACGGAGACCAGGAACTTGTAGTCGCCTCAGTTTTACCTAAAAAAGACACCTTTAGGTAAAAGCTAACGCACCTCTGTCTCTGATCATCTGTCTCACGCATTTCATGCAACCCACCAATAGTTATTTGAACTGTCATTTCTCCACAGGCATTTGGAGTCCATCAGCCAAGTCTACAGGAAGGGCGTTGCTGCTGATCGTGAAGATATTGTGTCTGTGGCTGTAAACCCCAAGGAAAAGAAGGTAGAGAGAGAGAGGCACTTTGAAGGAGGGTTTTTCCTTATCCCCCATCCCTTTTGCAAGAATTCCTTTGATGGAAAGATCGTTTTGTATCTCTGTGTTGGCTGCAGGGTATATTCGGCTCCGTCTTCGGGGGCAAATCAAAGCGGACACTTGACACGGAAACAGAAGACACCAAGGAAAGCGTCGAGGAGCTGTCCAAAATATTCTCGACAGCTAATTTCCCGTGGAACGTTGAGAATCCAGAGATCAAAGCAGCAGGACCAGTTGAGGATGAGACAGAGCTGGACATAGGTCTGGTCAGCTGGTGTACCTTTGAAGTAAATGTGCTGTTCAAGTTTAGGTTTTGTTCCGATCTTTTTTTTTTTTGTGGGTTCGTTCCTTTGCGTGTGAAGATGATATCGACCTGGAGGATCACACGGAGCAGCACAAAGAACAGGGAATACTATCTGGGCTGAACAAGCAGAAACTGGCGAACAAATTCAACTCCTTCAAAGGTCAGTTGCATACATTCATCCCGAAATGGCCGTAGGGGAGTGGTACTGATGGAGACGAGGATGAATGTTGCAGGGAAGCTGAAGCAGATGAAGGGAAAGAACGAGAAGAGCGCAAGCAACGAAGAGAAAGCCAGCACGGTCGACCAAATCAAGAAGAAATACGGATTCTCTTCATCCGGGGTAAACAATCAGCCTTCCCAAAAAAGAAAAAACTTTGCTCCCATTTCAGTGCAACGACTTTTCAGTAGGGTCGAATTCATTCTGCGTCTCCCATTGTGCAGGAAGTGGGAGCTGCGAGGATGGCGGAGAGCAAGCTACAAGACAACTTGAGAAAGCTGCAGGTAAACTGTCTGTCAAGGGAACTCTTGTAAGTTGTAGTACTCCAATCAAACGGTTGATAAAACCTTTGTCGGAATGTTGCAGGGGATAAGCCTGAAAACCACGGAGATGGAAGACACTGCCAAGTCATTCTCCTCGACGGCGAAGGAGTTGTTGAATGCTGTTGAGCACAGTAATCAGGGTTCCAAACCCTAGCTCTTTATGCCTGATGAATACGAGTTTTGTATACCTGATGACGAACACGTTTAGATTAACCAATGAATAAACCAAATATGTGTTTGGTGGGGTTCAAGGTTTGGTCAATACCCAATAGACTATACAAAAACTTACCTTTTATCTTTCACAAAAGCAAACCATTGAAAAGGAAGAAAGAAAATGCCATCCGAAAGATGTACATTCAACCATATTATCAACACCACAACGAAACGGGGGCGAGAACAGACTGAGACAAGACAACATAAACATAGACGCATAATGGCTATTCCATCATTACGAACGATAAGCGAAAAGACAAAAAAGGCATCTCGAAGGAGAAAGTCAACAACCAATCACCAAGCAACAGTTCAGTGCTCACTCCCAGAAAATGACAAAACACAACTGCTGAACAACAGACACGGCATATACGATCCAAACAAACAAAAACATTCTCTCCCAGGAAAAAAACAACAGTAAAAGACCACAAACCACATTTCCTCAAAGGTGGGAGGAGAGCAAGATGATATAAATCAAGACCATAACTAGAAATTAGTAACATAAACCCACCATTCCCATAACCAGAATGAAGCTCAAACTAAGATCCATTGTCATGAAAAGGTTTTTAAGTACATATAAAACCCCAGTAAGCAGAGGAAAGTACTATTCCATACCACTGACCTAATCCACAGTCATAGCAGATGAGCTTCACATCATTAAAAATAATGCATAAATGCGATCTAAGGTTCTTTTGGTCAAATCTAAGCAACTTTACACAAATTGCTGATCCATCTTCATCTGGGTCCCTCTGTAGCAAATCCTAATCATCATCTTCCTCCTGAAACCAAAGAAAGCTCTCTTATCAGATACCAAAAGGAACAGAGAGTATATATGGCTGAATCAATCAACGTAGCCCCCAAACCAAAATGCAAATCCGAGCCAACCTCTTCACTTCCCCCTTCTTCCTCATCGTTGACTTCAGACTTGGACTTGTCAGAGTCATCATCTGCTGCATTGGCTCCGTCAGCCTAAAAGCATAAAGCAAAAGCAAATGATAAGACTGTTTCACTAACAGAAGGTGAAGACATAATTTTCCCGACAATAAATTCAAGAAGCAAACTATCAATATTACCAGTTTCTTGTTGTACTGTTGCATGTTCTTAACATATTCACTCTTTCTAGTCTCCGCCTTTGCGACGTACGGAGCTTTATCCTGTTTTTATTGATTCATACAACCAAAATCAGAGCGTGGAACGAAATCGTTTCCTAAAACAATCGAACACAAGAAGAGCTACTCACTTCCTCTGACATGGACTTCCATTTACCTCCAGCAGCCTTACCAACCTGATTTGCAAATCCAAGCCGAAACAGATACCTATTAGCTCTCTCATAAACTCGGATCGTAATTTTGAACTGGGTTAGACATGGCTTTTGTCCATAGATAGTGAATCCCGCGAAAATACTTACAGCAGCGACGGACTTGTTCGTAGGGTTTGCTTTGTTGAACTCCCGTCGGAACTCCTCCCTTCGATTACCGACATCGGAAAACGATCAACGAATATAGAAACACATCTAAACAGTAATCACAGAGGGAAAACGCGATAAAGGAGCTTTATGAATTACAGGAAGACGAAGAAAGCACTCGGAGGCCTCTTTGGCTTGTTAGGATCCTTCGCCTTCTTTCCAGCTTTTCTACCGCGTGTTTTCAGCCTGAAAATCGATGGAAATCGCAAAAACAATCGGAGAAGCCCAGAAAAAGAAGCAGAAGTATATGGATCTCAGATACGCAGAAACGAAGAAGACGATGCGGAAAACTTACCTCGTATCAGTGCTCTTGGCCTCAGATTTGGATTGACCGCCTTTCATTGCGAGTTCTACCACAGAGAAAACGAGGAGAATCGATGAGAATCGGCGAAAACAAGCGTGACTTGGTCCGAGTGAGTCAGACGACGCGAGTAGCGAGTTACCTTTGAACGTTAGGGTTTTAGTTTGACGGAAATGAGAAGATATTTTCCTTCGCTGCCTAATTTTTATTTGAATTTAAAGATATTCCAAATTTCAAAGATTAAAAAAACGTATAATATGAAAACAGATTGACACGCGGGATCTCAGAAAAGTGAAAAAAATATATATTTTGCCACGTAGGATAAAAAATTACCGCTTATAGTTGCAAACGCTGTAAGATGATGACACGTGTAACCTACATATATATATGCGCTCAACTACAATAGAGTTGGGCTGGGCTGGGCTGGGCCGGGCCTTAGTTTCCTCTTGCACAACTTTTGGAAACTCGAACTTAAGCACAAATTTCTTCTTTGAGAAAATAAAAAAAATAAATTAGTGTAAGAACTAGATTTAAAATTTTAATTATCTAAAAAACTAAAATTAAAAAAAAAACATTTTAAACGTGATCACCTACCAATTGAAATAAATTTTATAATTCTATAAAAAAAACAAAATATATTTGTATCAATTTATTCATTTTAAAATATATTTATAATCCGGACATTGGGTAAGGCATCTACAAGATATATCTCCAATTCATTTATTGATTGCTCTCTAACTCATGTCAAACAATTAATGAAAACGCCTAACCATTGATTTGATTTTATTTTAACAAAAATTGCTAAAAGGGGTGAGTTTTTACCTGACAACATAGAACCATAATCATAAAAATCTCACCTGATATTTTAATGAGAGAATTTAACTTTTGGTGTTTGGTAATATAAATCTATACCAAGTTCAAATTAATAAAGAGCTCCAAAGACAAATTAAATGGTTGATTATACTTATTTTGAAATTTAATTAAATACCATAAAATCGAATTCTAATATTTTCCATAGAAATATTTGCAAAGAATTTTGTAATCGTAACAAAATTAAAATCCTTGTGCTATTTGGTTAGAACTTAGAAGTGATTCATCATTGAACCGTTTTTTTATTTAATAATATAATAATTTTATAGGAAAATAAATTCTCCGATTGCCATTTTTCAGACATGCGGCCACCAACTTCCTGTATTAATTAGAAAAATACCCCTATCTACTTCCTGGCTTTCACGTGCACTCCCACATTTTCAGGTCCAGAATAAGGGCATTTTCGGATTACATTAATTTCGTGGCACTCACTGGTAATTAAATGACACCGTGGGCTTTTCCAGACCATGCGAAAAGAAACTGCCCCAACTAAAAAGCACACCACTACACGACAAAAGCTAAATCCTTGGATTCTTATGCATATTTCACATTAAAATTAATAAATAAATATTTATTTGTTTAACGTAATTATGTAAGTCTCATATTCTCCGTCATTACGGGATATATCCAATCTACCCTTTGACTGCTGCAAGGACTTTTCTTTGTATCCTTCAAAACCTAAATTAAAAAAAAAATGATTGAACATTAAAAAAGACAGAGAAATCCTCAGATAAATATATAAAGACAAAAAAGTTCCCCCTCTGAATTAAAAAAAATTAAAAAAAATTTATTTTATCTTCTCTCTCCTAGCTCAACCCACGTTCCTCTCTCACTTATAACTCACAGCATCTCTTCTCTCTTCCTTTCAAAACCGCCGATTTCTTGCAGATGTAAGTCTGATTTCTCTGCAGAATCTCCCTTTCTTTAACTCTTTTAAGATTCAAAGAAGAAGAAGCGGAGAAGACAACAAAAAATTGGCTTCAACATCAACCCAATAATCATCTTCGTCGGCATCTTCAATGGAGACCGAAAACCAAATGCAAATTGCGGAGTTAGACGAACACATGGTAGACTACTTCTTTTTTTGTGAGATTTGTTGGATTTTGGAAATCTTTGATGTTGAGTTGAAGTATTAGGGTTAGGATTTGACGGATAGAAACTTAGGGTTGCATTTTTAAAATTTCTAGGATTTAAAAATAAATTTTGGATTTGAAATTAAGTAATCGATTGTAATATAAAATTTTGAGTTAATTTGGGTTACATGGATGTATGGGTCACATGGTCACATGATCAATTATATGTTGATTTAGATCACATAATTGTACGGTCACAAGGTAAAAATATCACAGTTCACAGGATGATTTAGGTCACGCGTGATAATACGTCACAGAGTGAATTATGTCACATGGTCACAGATCACAAGGTCACAAGATAATAGGTGGCATGGTCACAAGTGACTTGGTTACGTGGTCTCAGGTGACATGATGTCATCAATTTGTTTTGTTTTGCAGTTGCCTTTTATATATAAAATAAACAAGATTGACATTAAATCAAAGGTATACACTAAAAGACATTGTCACTTGGTCACAGATTGACATGGTCACATGGTACCATATTAACATGGTCACATGGTACCATGGTCACATGATACCATGTCCACATGGTCACATGAGACCATATTGGTATGGTCACATGGTACCATATTCATATGGCCACATGGTACCATGTTCACATGGTCACATGGTACCATGTTCACATGGTCACATAGTGTCATGGTACTGTGGTATCATGGTACCATCTATTTTCATGGAATTAAGAGTATACTAAAGAAGGAAGCGTCTGACGAAGCATTTCTTTTTTATTTAGAGGAATTGATGTCATCGAGTTCATGACTTGGAAATTCGTTCGACAAAGTCTTCTAAGAAGAAGAAAAAGGGAAAAAGTTTGATAAATGAAGAAGAAGTAGAAGATAAGCGAGGAAAAGAAGACGAAGAACAACAAGGACAAGAACAAGAAAGACAAGAAAAACAAGAATTATATGTGATGACAATGCCACCAAGATGCGTGAGCAGTTGACAGCCGTCATATTTGTCAATAGAAATGTGCAAAAGTAGAATTAATAACTTATTTATGTTATGAACTTATTTGTTTTTGTTATTACATTTTGTTTGTTTATTATAAACCTACAAATTTTTATTATTATGATATTATGTCTTATGTTTATTTTATATTTGAACATATGAAGTGAAAAATATTGGAAGGAAAAAATTTGGGTTGAAAAATTTTGAAGAGAAAAAAATTTGGGCTAAATTTTGGAGGGAAAAAATGGATTAAAAAATATTGGAGGGTAAAAAATATGAGTTGAAATATTGGATCCCACCGAAATTAGTGTTGAATTGTCAACCGTAACTTTTTTGCACACTTGGATTACACTAGACCCCACCAGGAATATTACATGTTCAAACTGGGACCCGCAATATTTCGGTCACAATGGGTCACAGTTGGTCACAAGGTCGATTTAGTGGATTCTTTCAAATGAATCGATCTGATTGTCATCACATCTTCCATATGCACCATTTTGAACTATATTAAACTATAATAATTGAATTATTCGAATTTTGTGTGCAAAAGTAGTTCTCACAAATGTGATACATTAGTGTTCATAGTCTTTTATGAAGAATTTTGACAATTTTGGTCTTTTTGTATTACAAACTCGTGTTAACGTTTTATAATTTTGTCATCAACATAATATTTGTATTCCTTATACCTTATAATAACAGACCAAAGCTCTCATTCAAAATTAGGGTTTCTCTCAAACTTTGTTGATGTTGATGCTCCTGTTGCGACATGAGATTATATTTTCTTACCACTCCAATGTTTCGAGTTTAAGATCAATGTCGTACGCAACTTCCAATTACAGCCAGATCCAACAAATTTGTATCTTATTTTCTATAATTCTAATTCGAACAAGTTCACTGTTTCCTTTAATAGTTGGCAAATAACTCAACTTGATCTTCGTTTTATCTTTGTCCGACTTCATCTCGACACATAACTTCCGAACAAGTTCGCTGCAGGTTACTTCACAAGGGAGACAAAAGAATATCACTCTTGGGTTTTCCACCACCTTTCCTTGTGACCATCATTACCATTACTGACTATTCTTAATTATATGATCATATGAACATAGTCACATGTGACCATAATTACCATTCGACCATGTAATTTAAACTCATGTGACCATTATTCTCAATTCGACTATTATGGAGATCATGTAATCGTGTAACCACGTGGATCTGGTATCATGTGACCATGTGAACCTGGTACTATGTGACCATGTGAACATGGTACCATGTGACCATGTGAACATGGTACCATGTGACCATGTGAACCTGGAACCATGTGACCATGTGAACCTTGTACCATCCGAATCAGATCTATTACAATATCATATTATAAAAGACAAAACTTCACAAACTCATTAGAAGAAAATAAATGGAAAAAACATCATTTCTCATCAAACAACTCCTACAACCATCGATGTATATGAAAAACAATAAGATTTTCGCAATGGATTATTTATTTCTAGCTTCTTCACTAATTTTCCACTGATTTTGCTTTGATTTCGAGCGATTTTGATGAAAAATCAGAAGAGAGAGAAAGTGTAGGAGAAAAGTGAAAGAAGAATCATTGTTCATCAAATAAACCCACACAATCATCAACGTACATGAAAAAAGAATAATATTTATGGTACCATGTGACCATGTGAACCTGGAACCATGTGACCATGTGAACCTTGTACCATCCGAATCAGATCTATTACAATATCATATTATAAAAGACAAAACTTCACAAACTCATTAGAAGAAAATAAATGGAAAAAACATCATTTCTCATCAAACAACTCCTACAACCATCGATGTATATGAAAAACAATAAGATTTTCGCAATGGATTATTTATTTCTAGCTTCTTCACTAATTTTCCACTGATTTTGCTTTGATTTCGAGCGATTTTGATGAAAAATCAGAAGAGAGAGAAAGTGTAGGAGAAAAGTGAAAGAAGAATCATTGTTCATCAAATAAACCCACACAATCATCAACGTACATGAAAAAAGAATAATATTTTTAATATTTCCAACTTTTCCGCTAATTTTCACTAATTTTGTTTTGATTTTTAATGAATTTGAAAAAAAAATGAAAATTCTAGAGGAGAGAGAAAGTGTAGAGGAGAGAGAGTTCGTAAAAAAAAGAGAGGAAGGAGAGAGAAACCAAAAAGAGAGGAGAGAGAAACCTAGATTTTAGGAAAGATTTTTTGATTAAAAATAAATAAATAAATAAAATAGGGTATTTTAGTCATTACATATTAAAGAGAGTATAATAGAAATTGATTTTTTTTAAAAAAAATAGAGGGTATGGTTAGATGTTGATGTAGCACAGGGTAGAATAGAAGTTGACCCGTCTGTGACTCTTCGCCTTCTTCGACGATATGGATTCTCTTCTTCCTCAGACACATTTCTTAACATCTCTCTTAGTGTTCCAAAGCGCCACCATCAGAGGTGAGTTGTCCTAATCGTCGTCTCGTTTCGTTTCTCCTCGTCCAAATACAGACACTGAGTCGCCCCGGGTCGACTCGGAAACGGGTTTTCTTTCCATGAAAAAGAGCTGATCAGGACCTTGCATGTGTACGGGTCGAGAGACGGGGAGGAGGGAGAAAGGGAGGTGGAGAGAGAGTTCGTGTTCGACGAGAAAGGCCCTTATGTCGAAACCAAAGCAAACCCGCACTTTCCGGTGGAATATCTCCGGCGACCGGAGATTTCGCAAGGAACGCTTGTCGGTTCGTGGATTTGCATCTTCATGTTTCGTTCCGACCGTGTCTCCGGCAAGATTCCATCTCTTCTCTCCGTCTCAAGGTATAAATAAATATTACGAACTTCTAGCTAGCAATGGCGTTCATAGAACTGTTACGTAAGATTTTTGCGAGTGAATGCTGCATGGACCGTGGCACAGTCCAGTGTCTGAACCCACATTACATGGTAATATGGTTAATGTTAAATGGAATCAGCGTATATTTTAACAAGTCGGTTCATAAGGATACGTGGTTTAGAGGGTATTATAAGGGGTGTAACTTACATGGACTAACAAGAATTGATTCCTTGGATGAGTAAATTGAATCTTTCACGTTGGATTTTGTTTTGTCCCGAGCGAAATGTCGATACTAATTCCTTAGTTGTGTACTGTGGTTACGTGCGATATACGCCACAAATTATGCAAGCAGTAGGCTGGAACCTTAACAGTGAGGCCGATTCCGCGGCTGCATGAGCAACTGATGATTCGGTATTAGGAGCAATGTCTGTGTTATTTGCCCAGACGTCGGAGAAGACAACTTCTTTTGTAAGTGTTGTTAGGAACTGGCTATAGGAAGAAGAATGGTTAAGGTTAAGCTTACTGCATAGCCAATATATCTATATCTCTCCTCGTATTAGGAATTCGAAGACTATTAGTTGTCGGTATTTTTCGCACTAGGGTCGGTTAATAGCGTGTTATAAGCAAGTGAAAGTATGGCGAAATCTTAAGTATGTTTTTCATCTGCTAAGTGAATGAAAAAGAAAGATGCACTCGAGTTCTTTCTTCTTGTGTAATTTGAAACTAAAAACATGCACTTTTTCCCTTTTTGTTGCAACTATGGACAGAAATCCTAAGCTTAGGGCGATCCCGACGTTAGCCAATGAACTATGGATGGTCTCGAAGCGAGCCACGAGGCCAAAACGGAAAGAAACATCACACATTCCCACCAAGGAACACCATGGTGCAGGCCGAAACAGCAGCGATGAGCCTAAACTGAGAAAAAACGTCCTGAAACAGGATCTTAACTGTCTTCCTGACCCTGAAACCACATCCGGTGAAGAATCCCGAAGTGATCAAACGGAACAACAGGAATCTGGTACGCATGATATATATCCCCCCGTGACATTTCTTAAACGTCAAGATATGTAATCAGAAACCCTATTTTGATTAAACACTTATAACGCATCAAATCTCCGGTTTTATATATTGCAGACATTATGAAGACAGACAAGAAAAAGAGGGCGCCGTCCAAACATGTAGCCAGACTTTCCATAGAAGAGCTCGCTAAATACTTTGACCTTCCAATATCGGAAGCTTCTACAAAGCTAAACGTCGGTGTTACAGTCTTGAAAAGGAAATGCAGAGAATTCGGGATTCCTCGGTGGCCACACAGGAAGATCAAATCACTCATTAGTCTCATCCTTGATCTCCAGGTCCTCCAAACTCTACTCTATTCATCATCTTTCCATATATATATATATATATATATAATGTGTATCATACGCAATGTATATACATGTATCTGCAGGCGTTGTATTTTTCGATGAACGGGTTAGTTGATGCAGGGAGAAGCGGAACGGCAACGGGAGAAGGACGAAACAGCGGCAATGGCGGTAAAGAGAAGGAAGAAGATGCTGGAGATAGAGAAGAAAGAGATAGAGGAAAAGCCATTCATGGAGATACAGGCAGAGACCAAGAGATTCCGACAGGACATCTTCAAGAGAAGACACAGAGCAACTAGGTCAGCTCGTAACAGAAGATCTATGTGATATCCTCTCATGGCACAGGGCTTATTACATAACATATCCTTATGTTTTTGTTTCGTTCGTGTATTAATATGGGATTTGTCTATTATACATGCAGACTTTTGAGAAGCGAAGACTCTGAATCAGTCAGAGGGTCTGGGACATTTATGAGAATGAGGTTGTAAGAAATGCATGAGGGAAAAAAGTCACTCGTGCTATATTATCTTTGTTCACTCATCTTGTTTTTCTCCTCTACTCTACGTGAGTCCACGACATCAAACATAACAAAAATCGAAATATCCAAAAAAAATGTATTTATCTTATCATTGTAGGTGATTTATATATCAGAAAATTTTAGGATATCATATTTTTAGGTACTTTAATTTTAAATATCCAAAAAAAAATATTAGGATGTTCGAATTTTAAGAAAAGATTTAAAACGAACTCACGGTAGATCCGTATTCGGGTAATTTGCCGACTCTAATTTATGAAAGGACCAGTGTGTGTGTATGTGTGTGTATATATATATGTCCCATCGGTCCGTGGATGTGGTTTGACAACGTCCTTGGGTCGGGGAGTTAAGGCGTGTTCACACACATGCCTCATTGCGTAGGAATCGGTTCGTATATTCCAATTTTTTATAACCTTACTATTTAATGTCAAGCGATTAACAATTACGTGTTAGGAATACTTAGATCATGACATTTAATCAATAATATAATCAATATTCTTGTCTGTAGACGACTGTCCATTCTCTTTCTTATTCCAAAGACCTGAATTTGACACAATTTATTTATTTATTTATTTATTTTATATTGGACTTAATCTCCAACAATATTCTTGTATTTCCTTTTTTTTTGAGGCCATCATTATTTGAAGGTCGTTATCGATTTGATATGGTGTCTTCCCAGAAATTTCTCCTTAATATATTTTACAAATTTTTTATTTTATTTTCTGTGCCAACCATTTCTTATTATCACAAATGTTTTTTTTGGGGTGTGTGTATATATATACAAGTGGGTCTAACAGATAACAAGATAATATTTCATGTCAAATAAAAATGTTGTTTAAATTGTTTTTTTTTTTTGGGTAAATGATGATGTTTAAATTGTTATATATACAGTACGCAACAAATAAATGATAGCACGACGGTCAAGAGCTTTATCACAGTAAATGATATAAGTTTTTTTTTTGCATATTATTGAAAACTAAAAATAAGTTGAAACACTGGAAATGTCAGTAAACTTGACATATTATTATATTTTATATTTGATTTAAATTTTGTTTTAGTAAAAATTATATTGTAAATGTATTGTATATTTTTAATTCATTGCATAATCAAGAAAAGCATATTGTATATTTAATACCAACATGGCCAATATTTAACGTATGGCGGACGAAGTGCTACCGGTAGATTTTATTTTAAAATGCATTATTTTGTGGAATGTGTTTTATGGTATAATAATGGAAAACGTTTATATGATTAAAGAGTCGTGTGAGTGTAACGAATGTTTGACCTTTGCGCATTTTGCGGGGGACAAGCCACACAATTCAACCACGGAGTCTACCTTTTCACTCGATTTTTTTATAAAACAAATGTCTAATAATTTTCTTAATTTAAATAAAATTAATTTCTAGATAATGATTTATCTTAACCGATATAAATAATACATTTTTTAGCTATTAAAATTAATATTAAAAAAAAAGAAAGCAAAACTCGATTTCTTGATTAAAAACATGCATATTTAACCGGATAAATACTAACCACATGTACACTTAACCGGACGGATATACATGTAATACTCTCTAATACGATAATTTCCAGGTTTTTATTTTATTCTTTACTTTTTTTTAAAAAAAAATCTTATGATCTTTGGTCGTCTTTTTATTCTTGTAAAAATATGTTGTTACATTTAAATTATAAAAAAAAAATCATGGATGAAGTCGTAAATTGGTGAGTTATGTTCCTCGTCCTTGCTTATAATTTATTTTGTTTAACAAATAGCCTTTTTTCCCACCTTGAATTATTCCAAAAAAAAAAAAAGCTCTCCTTGTTGATTTCTTTTTTCTTCCTGTCTTCGTGTTTCTATCATTTGGATTCAAGAATTCGATCAGATACAGTTATTCTCACCGGTTTGATCGTCTTGTTGTCGTTCTTGTCTGAATAAAAACCAGAGAAGAGAAGAGAAGCAGATGAAATGGGTCTTTGCTTTTCATCTTCCTGCTCTTCGTCTCCCTCCCCTCCGACCACCTCCTCCTCCACCTTCCAGAATCATGGTATCTTCTGCTTCATTTTTTTTTCTTTGTTCTTTGTGTTTTTTTTTCACAGTTCTTGTTCATCGGCCCTTGGATTTTCTTGTCTCCATGGATTTTCCCTTTCCAAGGTCGTCGCCCAGTTCCTCCTCCTCTCCCTGGGTTTTTCAAATCTGCAGATCTTCCGTTTGAGTTTTTATGGGTTTTCTCTGTCTCTCTCTCTCTTGCTTGTTGCCGCCATTACTGAATACCCACCAACACACAAGGTGTTGACTTCTGAATCAACCAGCTTCAGACACAAATTCATCGAGTTTCTTGCCCTTTTTGCTGCCGTTTTCAACGTTTTATTGTCAGTTTATGATAAATGATTCATTTGGTAATCCAGTTTTTGCACAGATCGCCACCGAATTCAACGCCAGTCTCTTATACACACACCCAGAACTTTTTTTTGTTGATAAAACATACACCCAGAACTTATACATCCAAAAATGAAGATAACATCCTCCGTATCTCTCTCATCGATTCACAATCCTTTCAGCTGCAGTATCAAACAATCACAGCGGCAACGGAGCAGAGTTCTCGTCGGCCAGCGTGACGACGACGACGACGAACAGCAGCGCCGGTGGCCGGAGCCAACAAATCTCGGAGGCGGAGACGGAGAACTCCTTCACCGACGGTCAGATTCTGGAGACGCCGAACCTCAAGATCTACACTTTCTCCGAGCTGAAGACAGCGACGATGAATTTCAAACCAAACACGGTGTTGGGTCAAGGCGGTTTCGGAAAAGTTTACAAGGGCTGGGTCGACGAGATCACTCTCTCCCCCTCCAAGGTCGGTTCCGGCATGATCGTCGCCGTCAAGAGATTGAACTCTGAGAGTGTTCAAGGTTTCGCCGAGTGGCGAGTAAGTCTTCTTCCTCTGCGTCTTCCCTTTCTTTTCAACGATTTTCACTGCGGTTATGGAGAGTTACTGCTGTGAATAGTTTATTCAACCTCTAATCAACCCGTTAGTACTTAATGAAGTTGCTATCTTTCTATTTGCTCTCCATAATAACGATGTTAAAAATGACATGTTTGGAAAATTGTTACCATGATTTTGGTAACTGTTTTGATTGAATATAAACCATCTAGATTTTTTTTTATATATTATATAGTTAGATTTAGTGTTAGAACCCTCAAATCAAAACGTCGGTCCATCAGGTAATTATTAGAAGAAATTAGAATTTTGTTTGTTTTTTGATGAGCATGTTGCTAATGATAGAAGAAAAAATTCCACCTACCACCATATCCATTAAAGCAAATGGTTATAATATTTTGTAATCGAATTTTATCATAACCTTTTTACCCACTTGTTGAACTTGTTCGGCTCCTAATATTGACTTCAATTTTACATTCCATTCCACATTGGTGTGGGGCTGTCGTACATGACATTGTCATGTATGATATATATTTGATTGCTTTCATTCATGCATTAGAAGTTGAGTATTTGGTTAGTATTGGTTTATATCCGGTTATGTAATTCTGGTTTGGTTTCATCGTTATTCTATTTCTTAAGTTTTGCCCTTTCTTCAAACCAAAACTACATCATAATAAGATGTAAAACCAACTAATCAAATATAATTAAGGAATCTTTAATAGAAATGATTAGCATTTAATTATTTTTTGGCAGTCGGAAATCAACTTCTTGGGGAAACTGTCGCATCCAAACCTCGTCAAGTTGCTCGGATACTGTTGGGAAGACAAGGAACTCCTCCTTGTTTACGAGTTCATGCCCAAAGGAAGTCTCGAGAATCATCTTTTTAGACGTACGTTCGTTAGTTTATATTTCCGCGTTACCATCTAATCAGCATATTACAAATCGAAACTGAAACTCTTTTATGTTTTGATCGATTTTCGTGTAGGAAATCCGGCGGTGGAACCGCTGTCTTGGGACCTAAGGCTCAAGATTGCGATCGGTGCAGCTCGAGGTCTCACGTTTCTTCACAGCTCAAACCGAGAGGTCATCTACCGAGATTTCAAAGCCTCTAATATACTGCTAGACTCGGTCAGTTAAAATTTTCTAGACTTTTTTTTTTTATGTAGAAGATGTAGTTGGACCATAGTTGTGGTAAACTTACGAATTATAAAAAAATGACGGAGAATGTGTCTGCTGGGCAGGATTATAACGCGAAGATATCGGATTTTGGACTGGCGAAACTAGGACCGTCGAACGAAAAGTCACATGTCACCACTCGGATCATGGGCACTTACGGCTACGCTGCTCCTGAATACATGGCAACAGGGCATCTATACGTGAAGAGCGACGTGTACACGTTCGGGGTGGTGCTGCTGGAAATGATGACGGGCTTAAGAGCGCACGACACGAGACGACCGGACGGGCAACAGAGCCTCGTGGATTGGCTAAGGCCGAGTCTTGTCGGAAGCAGAAGCAAAGTCAAACTCATAATGGACACTCGTCTCAAGGGTCAGTACTCTTCCGCCGCCGTAGCCGAGTTGGCTCAGCTCACCGCTTCCACCCTCGAGCCTGATCCCAAGAAACGTCCTCACATGAAACACGTCCTCGAGGTTCTGGAGCATGTCCGCCGAATCAACGTCCCTAAACGCACCGTTTCCGATTCCTCTTCGAATTCTACGCCGCTAAGTAGTCACCGGAGTAGGTATCAAGTTGCCGGCGGCGGCGTTTATCATCGGCGTTCTCCGGCTCCGGCGAGGGGAGGAGGATAATTTTCCGGCGGGGCGAATGAGTGAGTAGTAGTTACCTTTTTTTTGTGGATTCGTTCATTCAAAGGTTTTGATGGTGCTTTACAGCATAGGAACACGGTTGATATGTTTAGAGTGTTTGGTAATGTGTGTAATTTATTTGAATAATGGGTTTTTTCCCTTATACATATATTATATGGACCTGTCAATTAAACTTTGAAATAAATTGAGAGATCCAAATATAGGATATCATAAATCACATATAGAAAAAAGTTTGCCAATAGTTTTACTGAAATTAACGGGGATATATGTGCGTACGTATGTACTGTAGATATATGCAAACAAAAGTATTCAAGCCGTGTCGTTTAATCTATCAATTAATTACTTTAACAAAAAAAATTGATTAAGTAATTATGCTTATCTATGATTAATTAATTAGATTAAGCGGGCAAAGTGATGATGATGATGATGACGGAAGAAGGGGAGGAGGCTCCCACGGTTCACGGCATCATTCTCTGACGCTGCCCGTTTAGGCCTTGATTTTGGTAAACGTTGACTACGCTTAACATTTTATTTAGTGCCTAATCACTTTTCCTAATCTCACCCATTTTCCATATAATTGTCTTTACAACTAAGCCCTTGTAAAAAAAATTAATTACAGAATATCGTATATAATATAGGACTTGTCTGAAAAAAAAGAAAACAAAACAAAATAATTTAAATTGAGAAGAGAGATACACGGGCACATGACAGACAAGGTGACCGTTGCCTAAAGACGGACTTGGAAGGAAATCTTGCTTACTTCATGATCCAACGGTCATTTTCATCACTAGTCGTTGGATCTTTTTTTTTAAAAAAAAAAGCTTTCTCCTTTTTAACTTTCTTTCCTCCGCTCTCTCCTTTCCTTTGCTTATTTCATCTCCCTTCCCCAGCTCCTGTTTCAATCCATCATACCCTTCGTTTGATGTTCTTCGTCGAGGGTTTCTGATTTCGAGTTGTGGGTCTCAGATTTCGAACGGAATAAGCAAAGGAAAAAAAAATGGTTATCTCCGAGGAGATCAATCGTAATGTCGTTATCAAACCCATTACTGCTACTGCTACCGTTAGTCTTCATCAAGGTTGATGCATCTCAGAATCTGAAGAGTCAATTACTAATTTCCGTGATGGAATTCACAGTGTTACGCAGAAAATCTAATACGGGTCGGTGGTTTTTCTGGGTTTTAGATGAGAGGGGAAGCAGGAGATTCGGACAGGAGAATCGACAGAACCGGAGAGCGTTGCGTGTGATTAATCAGAACCTGGTCGGAGCGAGAGGATACCCTTGTGTTGTCAACAAGAGAGGCTTGTCTGAGTAACAACACCTTGAATCCTCCACAGTTTCTTAGCTCTCTGTCTTATTTTCTCCAAAATGATTATTGTAACATGTTCCTGGTTTTTGGATGATTTGTCTCAACAGGAAGAACGAAGGGTGTGGAATTAAGCTTGATTCTTTGCGTCCCCCTGTTACAAGGTCTTGAAACCTTAGTGTCTGTCCTCCTCCTCCTCCTTCTGTCTTGTTCTTGATTCATTTACCTTGTTTGTTGACGTGAAATCTGGAATCTGAATTCGCAGATCACGAGCCGAAGAGATGTGTCTTGAGGAGACGAAGAGACTGAAGCCATCAGCTCCGACAATGAACGAGTTCGGGGACTGTATATTCCTAGATGAGGAGGAAAAGGCGGCGGTGGACCACCCGATTCCAATGTCCTTGGAGGAACCAGACACAAGCCTTGGTGAATCTGACCCAATTGTATGCGAAAATGTTCATGTGTTAAGCCAGCCTCCAGTTACAAGATCCAATGATATTAATTGGTGAAAAATCTAAATTGGGCAGGAGGAAGTGGAAATGGAGGATATGAGAGTTGAAGAACCGATACTGGACATCGACAGTTCTGATGCAAAGAACTCACTTGCAGTCGTCGAGTATGTCGAAGATCTGTATGCATTCTACAGGAAAATGGAGGTATTCACTCCAAACTCTGCAACTTTATATGGAACTGAAGCAACTGAAGATTTGTATAAACGGTATTTGAATCTCGAGTTTTGTCTGAGAAAACAGTTGGATTCATATCTGCAGAGTTTTAGTTGTGCTCCAGCAGATTATATAACGCAACAGTTTGACATAAACGAGAAGATGAGAGCCATTCTGATAGATTGGCTCATTGAGGTACATTGGCCATCTCCTCTATGCTGAAAGTTAGTGGATAGAGAGAACCTTTGGTAGTGAGGTGAGCTTTTGTGTGAAATGCAAACGCAGGTTCACGACAAGTTCGATCTCATGAACGAGATGTTGTTTCTCACCGTGAATCTGATCGATAGATTCTTGTCCAAGCAAGCTGTTGCGAGAAAGAAGCTTCAGCTTGTAGGGTTAGTCGCAATGCTTTTAGCGTGCAAGTACGAGGAGGTTTCTGTTCCGTTCATCTCGGATCTAGTACTCATTTCTGACAAGGCTTACACGAAGAAAGACATTCTAGAAATGGTAAAGCCAATTTCCGTACCTATCTTGTCTCGTGCCAGAATTTGGATCAAGAGTTACATTGCTCTGATTCCTTTTTCCGCTGTCTGCAGGAGAAAACGATGCTCAATACACTGCAATTCAACGTCTCATTTCCAACACCGTACCCTTTTCTGGCGAGGTTCCTCAAGGCCGCTCAATCAGACAAGAAGGTAAGCCGTGTTCTTCTTTTGTTTCGCCTTATGATCAAAAGGTCTATACAGCAAGAAGGTTCAGTATATGTTTATTGTCACTTTTAGTTGGAGATTACGGCATCGTTCTTGATCGAGCTTGCCCTTGTGGAGTATGAGATGCTTCAGTTTCCACCGTCATTACTAGCAGCCGCTGCTGTGTACACCGCTCAGTGTACACTTCATGGATTCAGACAATGGAACAGCACGTGCGAGTTTCACAGCCGCTACTCAGAAGATCAGCTTATGTAGGCGTTTCTTCCTCATTTGAATCCCCCCATATCCTTTCAATACCCCGAAAGCTCGATCCTTTTACCTCTAAAACGCAAAAGGGCACAAAAAAGATTGATCTTTTTCGTGAATCGATTCGCGGGTTGACAGGGAATGTTCCAGAAAGATGGTAACCTTCCATGAGAGGGCGGCGAGCGGGAAGCTGACCGGAGTACATAGGAAGTACTGCTCGTCAAAGTTTGGATACATAGCAAAATGTGAACCTGCACATTTTCTTCAGAAGCCATAGCAAAAAGGAGAATAGTAAGTAATGTACAGCTGCTGACATTCTTATTACATAACTCCACATTACTTGAAGAACAAGTAACATAAAAGCCGAAAACTTTCTGCCAGCAGCCAGCTTCCAGTTTGCTCCCGAAGTTGTCTGTTTGTTTAGTTCAAATTGTTTTTTTTTTTTTTTCAGTTTGATGATCTCTTTTGTCATCTACTCTCACTGTAATTTTCTGTTTGCTGCTTCACTCATCTCAGCAATAAACTCTTATGAATGAATGACACATTCTTGACTTCAGACAAAGATTTACATTTCGGGCACTTCCACAACTTCTGTGAATTTGGTCCTAAAAACCTGTTGATTTACCCCATCAATGAAAGAAAAAAAAACCATTTTTAACTGATATATATTACCATAGATGCTGTAATTTAACTATTAAATATATACACGTAAACACGCACCACCACATATACATAGACATGCAACATACATGCACACAAACACACACACCAACATTACGACATCTAGTAAATAAATCCGGAAAGACACGTTTTATTCACATGAATTGCAGGAAAGCTCAAGGTTGGGTTGTGACCCAAAAAATTAAAGGAAAGAAGAAGAAAACCCTACCACGTGATCCTCTCTCCGACCAGCAATCACACTGTTCAAAGGATAGGGTGGGCAACTCCATTGATAACTGAAGTTTATTCCCGGTTAAATTATCTACTTTATCCTCGCAAAATTTTATTATTTTTTTTTGTAATTCTCTGTGTTGTCTTCATCCATCCAAACCAAAGGTGTGGGTGCCCCACTGAATTCCAATTTAAGAGGGTTTTCTCCTTCTTGTTTGATTGCTGCATGTAGATCTTCTAATCGCTAATAATGGGCTTCTTCTTCTTAGCCAGAAATTCACTCGCACGTTTCAGCCCACGTTTTCGGGGTTTATTGTTGAACCACCGTTGCTTCACAGCCTCGGATTCCGGCGAGTTTTGTGGGGTTTCCGGTGAATCGGAGCCGGAATCATGGAAATCGATGGAGGGTCTGCTTCGTTGTTCCGCAAATTACGCTCCTTTAACACCCATCACCTTCTTGGAGAGATCGGCCAACGTTTACGGGGACAAAACCTCAGTCGTGTTTGGTTCCGTGAAGCACACTTGGAGTCGAACCCACCAACGCTGTCTCAGCCTTGCTTCTGCTCTTACCCTAATTGGAATCTCTCCCGGAGATGTGGTTAGTGTTGATATTGTCCCATCATCTTGCTTGTCCTTCTCTCTGCCATTGTTCGTCGCTTCAATTCTGGTTTCCATGATCCTACGGAGTGGGTTTTAGTTCAAGTTCTAGTTCATGTTGATGAATACAAGAAGGTTTTTCTTGAAGGAGAATCATGATGAAGTGATGCTTGATCTTAGATCATGAAACTCTTATATGTTGATATTTCAGGTTGCAGCTTTGGCGCCGAATGTCCCAGCAATGTATGAGCTCCATTTCGCTGTTCCAATGGCTGGATCGATCCTCTGCACGCTCAATACTCGCCATGATCCTGCCACTCTGTCTGTTTTGCTGAGACATTCCGAGGCAAAAGCCCTCTTTGTCGATCACCAGTTGTTGGAAGTTGCTCGTGAAGCTCTTGATCTCCTTGCCAAATCGGACAGAACAAGAAAAACTCCGATACTTGTCTTAATCTCTCACTCTGAAGATGGCTTGTCCCCAGCCTCCTCAAGCCTTGCTTCAGAGCACAACTGTATTGATTATGAATACGAAAGCTTGCTTGAAACTGGAAGTATAGAGTTTGAGGTGAGGAACCCGAGAAGCGAATGGGATCCAATCAGTATAAACTATACTTCCGGGACAACGTCAAGGCCTAAAGGCGTGGTGTACAGCCATAGAGGAGCCTATCTGAATTCACTCGCCACGCTCTTTCTTCACAGAATTTGTGATTCTTCGGTTTATTTGTGGACGGTCCCTATGTTTCACTGCAATGGATGGTGCCTCATATGGGGAATTGCTGCACAAGGTGGAACCAACATCTGCCTTAGGAAAGTCACTCCAAAAGCAATCTTTGAGAACATTACTCTGCACAATGTGACTCACATGGGAGGTGCTCCGACTGTACTGAACATGATCGTTAATTCCCCGGATACTGAACGTAAGCCGCTTCCTCACAGGGTGGAGATCATGACAGGCGGGTCACCGCCATTGCCACAGGTCCTGGCTAAGATGGAAGGATTAGGGTTCGATGTGTCTCATCTGTACGGCTTGACAGAGACGTATGGCCCAGGGACTCACTGTGCTTGGAAACCCAAATGGGATTCTCTTCCTTTGGAAGAGAGATCGAAGTTGAAAGCGAGACAAGGAGTTCGGCATCTGGGTTTGGAAGGGCTCGACGTGAAAGACCCTGAGACAATGCAGAGCTTACCAAACGATGGTACAACCATGGGAGAGGTTATGTTCAGAGGAAACACCGTGATGAGCGGATACTTCAAAGACTTGAAAGCAACGGAAGAAGCTTTCAAAGGAGGTTGGCTTCACACGGGCGATCTTGCAGTGAAACATCCTGATGGGTATATCGAGATAAAGGATCGGCTAAAGGATGTGATCATCTCGGGAGGAGAGAATGTAAGCACGGTTGAGGTAGAGAGGGTTTTGTCTGGTCACCGTGCTGTTCTCGAGGCTGCAGTTGTGGGAAGGCCGGATGATCACTGGGGCCAGACACCATGCGCGTTTGTGAAGCTGAAAGACGGGTTCGATGTTAAACCCGAAGAGATTATAGAGTTCTGTAGAGAACACTTGCCTCATTACATGGCTCCAAAGACTGTTGTTTTTAGTGATTTGCCTAGAACTTCCACTGGCAAAGTACAGAAGTATCTGTTGAGACAGAGAGCTAATGAGATGGGCAGCTTGTCATGATCGCCAAGGACCATTGTTATGTCTTTGCTTCTCCTCCAGGATCTAATGCGGACATCAAAATCTGTTTCACATTCGGAACCAGTTCGAAAGACTTCAGACCATCTGATTCCATCGAATAAGCTATTTTTAGCAATACCAGAGTCCAGGTATGAAAGAACTTTCTAAGTTTGGGTTTTCAGTTATGTCTTTTATCTTCAAAATTTATAGGATCCTCTGAGATCATTGCCCTTTGATTCATCTCTCTGGATTTTTTTGTGTAGACTCTGTTCTCAAGATCAAGATTAGTAGGAGAGAAAGGACAAAACTGCTCTGTTTAAAACTTTAATCTTTGTTTATATATAAAAAAGGATAAATTGCAATACAAAATTAGCAAAATCAGTAGCTGTCAATACATTTTCATCCCATCAACTTCGAGAGCAGTTTCATCTTAGAAAAATGTTAAGAACATGACTCGTAAGCCAAAGCTGAGACAGAATCTCTGACTTGGTTCAAGACAAGCTTCAGAGCATCTTCTCCCTCAGATTCAGACAAAAGATGATTCTCTCCTACAAAACCCTCCTACTCTTCGGGAGATTTCTCTGCAGATGCAGAATCTCTCTCTCTCACTCTGCAGAGCAAGATAACACTGTTCCTGGTGCTAACCAGTTACGACCATGAGATACTTATTGAAAAAGAAACAGTTCTTGCACCTTCAACGGCTGCATGTGAACCAAGTTTCAGTTCCACAAGTTCGGGAACCCATCCCGGGTTTTACTGAAGATTTTGGACCAGAGTCATGGAGATCAATCGAGGGTCTGGTTCGTTGCTCGGCTAATTATGAGCCTTTGTCTCCTGTCAGTTTCTTGGAGAGAACGGCAAAGGTTTACAGAGACAAAACCTCTGTTGTGTACGGTTCTGTTAGCTACACATGGAGCCAAACCCAAACCCGTTGTCTCAAACTCGCTTCTGCATTAGTTCATCAGCTGGGGATTAACAGAGGAGACGTGGTGAGCCAAAATTTTTCCTCTTGAATCCATGTATAACTTCTTTTGCTTTCTCTGGTGAGTTTTAATGGTTTTGTTAATGTGCTTAGGTTGCAGTTTTGGCACCGAATGTTCCGGCCATGTACGAGCTCCATTTCGCAGTTCCAATGGCAGGAGCTGTGCTTTCTCCACTCAACACGCTTCTTGATCCTGAAGTGGTTTCGCTCGTTCTGAGACATTCAGAAGCGAAGGTCCTTTTCGTCGATGACCAGTTCCTTGAACTTGCCGAGGCAGCAATTGATCTCATTGTCAAGTCAGAAAATGCAAGAAAAGGACCAATCCTTGTCCTAATCTCCCAACCTGATCACACCATTGATAGCTCAGTACCCGCAGGGAGATTAACCTCAAGAACATCACTCCATTGCGGGTACGAAAGTTTGCTCGAGTCTGGAAGCAGTGAATTCGAGGTAAGGAAACCGGGAAGTGAATGGGATCCGATCAGTCTAAACTACACATCTGGAACGACTTCGAGATCTAAAGGAGTTGTAAGTAGCCATAGAGGAGCTTATGTGAATTCTCTCGCCACAGCGTTCCTTCCCAAGATGGGGGCATCATCTTCTCCTGTTTACCTCTGGACCGTCCCCATGTTTCATGCCAATGGATGGTCCCTCACTTGGGGAATGGCTGCACAAGGTGGGACCAATGTCTGCATTAGAGAAATCTCCGCAAAAGGCATCTTCAAGAATATATCAGAGCAGAAGGTGACACACATGGGAGCTGGCCCGACTATTCTGAACATGATTGTGAATTCACCTTTGGATGGAATACCGAAGCTTTCTCACCGAATCAAAGTCTTTACAGGCGGTTCACCTCCTCCTATACCGATCCTGAACAAGATGGACGAGATGGGTTTCGACGTATCTCATGTCTATGGCTTGACGGAAATCATGGGTCCAGGGACTTGCTGTGAGTCCAAACCAGAATGGGATTTGCTTTCTGCAGACGAAAGATCGAGATTGAAGGCCAGGCAAGGATTACAGCATTTGGCAGTTGACGAGGTAGATGTGAAAGATCCAGTCACGATGAAGAGCGTGCCATTGGACAGTACCACCATTGGTGAGATCATGTTCAGAGGAAACAGCGTAATGCTTGGATACTTCAAGGACGCGAAAGCAACCGAAGAAGCTTTCAGAGGAGGTTGGTTTCACACGAGCGATCTGGCCGTCAAACACTCAGATGGGTATATAGAGATAAAGGATCGGAAAAAGGATTTGATCGTTTCGGGAGGAGAAAACGTAAGCACGGTTGAGATCGAATGGGTTTTGTATAGCCATCAAGCCGTTCTTGAAGCTGCAGTTGTGGGGCGACCGGATAATCGCTGTGGGGCAACGCCTTTTGCGTTTGTGAAACTGAAAGATGGGTTTGATGTGAAAGAAGAGGAGATCATAGAGTTCTGTAGTGAGCATTTGGAGCATTACAAGGTCCCAAAGACGGTTGTTTTCGGGGTTTTGCCAAGAACTTCCACAGGGAAAGTGCAGAAGTACCTGCTGAGACAGAGAGCTAAAGCATTGGGTTCCTCGTAATAAAACTGAAAGTTAGTATGTTGTTGTTGTGTCAAGTATTCGAAATAAGATTTGTGGAAACTATCTAATGTGATATAGTTAATGATTATGAGATCTGAATCGTTGAGCTTAAGCAAAACATAAGAGAGAACCTGATCCTTATTACAGAGTTACATTCTACAATATAGTTGTTTCGTACAAATGCTCCAAAAACACGTTTTTGAGAAGAACCTCGGGTTGATCAAAGACAAGTTGCAGAACTTCTTGAGGAAAGAGTCCCCAGATTTATCTGAATCTACAGTTTCTTGTTGAGGGGTTTCCCACAAAATCGTTTCTTTGAAGGATTCTCAGGTTTCTCAGAACAATTCTGAGGATTATGGTCAATTTCTCAAGATTATGTTAGGATTCCAGAGATATTCACGTGTAGATTATAAGAGTTACTGTAACATTCAGTTAGAGTTGTGATGATTTCTTCATGTTGTCAGATGAGTAGAATTAATTGGAGATAATTGCAACTTGCAGTGTCAAATTGTCAGATACAGCCACCCAAAAGGACGTCATTGTCCCACCAGTTCAAGAAACCTCGTGGGAAAGCAACTCATTACTGAACAAGCCAAGACAGAATCTTTGACTTGAGCTGAAGACAAGCTACTGAGGATCTCCCCTTTCAGATACAGACAAAGACCTTCACCCCCCCAACTGTGAAGATCTCTCCTCTGCAGATTCTAGAAATATCGAGGCTTTTTGCTGTAGTGGGTGATGAGCCATGAAACATTTCTTCGGAAAGAAACCATTCTTCCTCTCCCTTCTACATCTCGAAAGACTGTATGCAAGCCCGGTTTTCAGTCTTGAAAACCCAGAATCAGAGAAATATAGAATGTATTATGGGTATGGGCCGAACATGGTTAAGCCCATTAGGCCCAAATTTCTCCCATGTTTTCTTTTCACTCGTGAATGCCACGCGCCTTTCTCTCCATTTCTCTCACTCAAACCCCTGCAAGAACCCTAGGCAGACCTTCACAGGGAGTGAGATACGGAGGGACGAAGATCGGCGACGAAGGAATTTGAGAAAGATGGGGAAGATTCCATCGTTTGTTCGGTCTTCAATGGCGAGGCAATTGGTGAAGAAGCCTGCCCCTGCTTCGGCGGCTGAGTCTCCAGCGCCCCCTCGGGATTCTCCCAGGAAAGCAGCCGAGAGAGAATCTGCCAAACTTTCCCGGAAAATCCAAGGACCCGGAGTGCCGTTTAAGAATCCTTTCAAGACACCTGATCTCTCGGACGCCAAAAAGCTCTTCAACTCGATCGTCTCCACCGCAAGGATCCCTCTCGATGTCAAATTTCACAACTCCGTTCTCCAATCGTATTCCTTGATCGCCACCGTTGATGATACGATGGGTTTTTTCCGTCACATCACGAAAATGCAACCGGATTTCTCTCCCGAACGGTCTACATTCCACATATTGCTCTCTAAGGCTTGCAGAGCACCCGATTCAACACTCCCCGATGTTCACCGAGTTCTCAACCTCATGTTCACTCATGGTTGTGAGCCTAATCAAGTCTCGACTGACATCGCGGTCCGGTCCCTGTGCGAATCTGGCCGGGTCGACGAAGCAGTAGATTTGGTGAAAGAACTCTCTGAGAAGCACTCGCCTCCGGATACCTATACGTACAATTTCCTTGTGAAGCATTTGTGTAAGTGCAGGTCTCTAAGTGCGGTCTATGGATTTGTGGATGAAATGAGGAGTTCTTTTGACATAAAGCCTGACCTTGTTACTTACACTATCTTGATTGATAATGTATGCAATTCTAAGAACTTAAGGGAGGCTATGAGATTAGTAAGTGCTCTTAGTGATTCTGGGTTTAAGCCGGATTGTTTCGTCTATAATACCATTATGAAGGGTTATTGCACGTTGAGTAAAGGGAGCGAAGCAATCGGTGTTTATAAGAAGATGAAGGAAGAGGGTGTTGAGCCGGATATGATTACTTATAATACTTTGATCTTTGGACTGTCGAAATCCGGTAGAGTTGATGAGGCTAGGAAATATTTGAAAGCTATGATTGAAGCGGGTCATGTCCCGGATGCTGTCACTTACACATCCTTGATGAACGGAATGTGTAGAAAAGGTGACGCTTTAGGGGCGATGAGCTTGTTGGAGGAAATGGAAGGGGAAGGGTGTAGTCCAAATTCTTGCACGTACAATACATTGCTTCATGGATTGTGCAAGGCAAGATTGTTGGAAAAAGGTGTTGAACTATACGGAGTGATGAAATCAGGTGACGTAAAGCTCGAGACCGCTGCTTATGCGACACTTTTGAGGGCTCTGGTTAGAAATGGTAGAGTTGCGGAGGCTTATGAAGTTTTTGACTATGCAGTAGACAGCAAGAGTTTAACAGATGTGGCCGCTTACTCTACGTTGGAGAGTACCGTGAAGTGGCTGAAAAAAGCGAAGGAACAAGGCCTGGCTGTCTAAGTGGGTACACTCTCTAGTCTCTAGCAGCTTTACCAGCTATTTTGTTTTGTTTTCCTGATTTGTGAATTTCTAGTTCCTTTTGAGGTTGTATGGTTCCGAAAAGGAATGAACTTGATAGGTAATTTCGGATGAATCTGTGTTTCATAAGAAATCAATATTGATGGATTGCAATACAACATGTTTACTTCTGTTCTGTTGTACTATTCTGCGGTATATGCACTTACACGTTTTCTTCAACATCTTGGACTGATGTCCTTGATGTATATATTGTCAAGGAATATTTGGGCAATGGTGCTTCTGCATCAAAACTTGTCCCAGTCTCTGAGATGTGTGTTTCTTACATTCAGTGAACTGTACTCTGTTTCATAAGCCAGATTCAGACCCCTCTGGAAAAAAATGTGAAACATTAAATTGCTTATTAGCTGTAAAGATCAATCTGCTCGAGGTAAATTTTAAATTTAGTTAGTATGTTTATCTGATGCAGCAGATCAGACAAAATCATCTGACCACAGATTGTTGTGCCCTTTTCTCTGGGTGCAGGTGAAGAGGACAGAGATACTGATATTACTTTCTCAAAGGAAAATGATGGGTTTTCTTTTGTGATGTTTCAGTTAAATTACAATGCAAATCATTGGGAAAAAAACAGAGGACAATACCCTGCAGCATCTTGAAGAAGATTTACAGAGACAAGCGGTCTAAATTCCGGTATGAATCCATTCTCTTGACCTCAATCATTAGACGAAAGAAATTCTTGTTTATTTGTGCTCTCCTGTCATGTTGTTTTGTTATATTGTATATTTACACATTTGTCTCCTTGTCTGCCGTAAAACAACAATATACGTAGATTATAGGGAAAATAATACATTGGAGGGGGGGAATGAACGTACAATGGCCGTATGTTCATGCTGCAACCCCTAGATTCTTGGACCTATGACGGCGATGACCCTTTTGCGCAATCTTGTATCGATGTTATATTCTCCTGAGTTGGCTTTGTTTTGTTCAAGAGAGACAGGACAGCAAGAGAGACAAGATATAATCAGAGGCTCTACGTTGCCGGATTCCACAGAGATCATTTGATTAAACAAGTGGACAGTTGGTGCAAATATCTTCTCTTTGTAAGGTTATAACATACCCATTTGCCTTTCATGAAGAACTTGATTACCAGAAATGCACAATTATCATTCTTGGAACCCTAATCGTCAAAAACTTTTAAAGTTTGATGCTTTTTTTTTACTTCTTCTCCTACCCGGATCGTAAAAATCGTAGAAGATTTAATATATAACATCTCTTAGAAGATTAGCTACGGCTTAATACGATCCATTAGGGGCTTTAATATAAGCATCTTTCCTTTGTATAAATGCAAATCGCATTAACCCAAGTGGAATATAAACTATCATAACCATCAAGATTTGAAATTTCATGTATATTTTCAAAAGAATGTGGTAACCATTGGGGTTGGACACGGGTCAGATACCCGTGATTTTGGAAATACCCGTCTTCATCTTCGTCTTCGCGGATTTCATGAAAACAATGTCGCATTCTCTATCTCATTAACACCGGGTACCCGTCGACCGGATACCCGTGATTAAGAGACGGGTATCCACACGTACTCGTAGCCGTAAAATATATATATTTTAAATAAATATAAATCAAATATTTAGTAAAATTATATTATTTAATTCAAAATATATATTTAAAATATAAAAAATATATATATCTTTGAATATATATAGATTTTTAAAAATTTTTAAAATATATATGTTAATTTTTAAAAGTTAAAACCTAATATTTAAATAAATAATTAAAAAAATATATATGTTAATTTTTAAAAGTTAAAACCTAATATTTAAATAAATAATTAAAAAAATATAGGAATATTTGATATTTTTATATATTTACGGATATCCGTGGGTATCCGTTTTCGTAAAAATGAAACTCGTGTCCGTCTTTGTTGTCATTTTTTTTGTACCCGTCTTCGTCTTCATTCAGAGATGAGTACCCGTTTTTCGGGTATTCATGAAACCGGATACCTGCGAACCCGCGGATAACGGGTATAAATGCCCAGCCCTAGTAATCATATTATTCCATTTAAGAAATAGGGAAAAAAAAAGATTTAAGAAGCGACAAATAAGGGAAATGAGGAATGAGCATGTATTTGATCACATGTGCCTACTCACGAAATTGATCAATACCCACTTGAAGCACCCCAATGTTCCATTTCATTCACGTGCTTATTCTAAAATTATCATTACATATTATTTTGCTTAGATTAATTAAAATAAATCTCACGCATTAATTGATGGAGCTACAAAAAAACTTGTTTGCTTCCGGCCCGAAGAACCCACATGACATGGTTGGTTCATGTGATGCCAACGAGGAATTCATAATTTAATTTGATTGAGAGTTTTTAACTACCAAGTTGCTTTTGGCGATTCTTGAAGGTCCAATGTTGAGTTTGGTTCAACTTCCAAAATGCTAAAAGACTCTTGATTTGGACATTTCAGCTGCAACAGTTTCAGCAGTTGAATTTTTCTCTTCCTCGTGATTGATAAATGTTACACTCCCTCCGTTCCAAAATATTTGTTATTTTAGATTGTTTCACATTTTCCAAGAAAATGGATCAAAAGTCACATATACTTTTATTTGATGATAAAAACAATGCAATCATTAATAATATATTGGAATTTGGTAGGGATAAAATTGAAAACTATTATAAAAAAATGTCTTGAAAATATAAAACTATAAATATTTTAAAACATAGAAAATAACCTAAAACTATAATTATTTTGAAACGAAGGGATAACAATAAATTGTTTCCATTAATAACTAATTAAGAAGGAAACAAAACAAGAGGAAATGCTGTAAATCTCTGCCTACGCAACAAAAACCATGTGATTTCTCATAATGTGCGAATTAAAATTAAATATTATGAGTTTTTTGGAAAATAAATTAAGAATATAGATATCAACTTTAGAAATCCAATAATGATTTTATTTAAGAAATTAATTAATGCGATTAATTGTATGAAGCATTTAAAGAAATTAAACCCATGCATTAAAGAAATAAATGATGGCGGCTAGGATCAACGTCTTCTGAAATTGAATAGTGAAAAAACAGAGGTAAGAAAAATAAGGTAATGAGAAACCTTAAAAGAAAAGACACGTGGCGTTTGTGCAATGGAAATAAACCTTTTTTTAATACGTAGGTGCAAATGATTATTTTTAATTTTTTGATAAATGATTATTTTTAATCATCAGGGATTTAACGGTAAAGTTGTTGTGTTATTTTTTTTTTACAATAGTAATACATAGATGATAGATGATTTTGGATCATACAATATTTCATTTGGTTTGAGTTTTTTTAATTATATTTAAAATCATATTCTTTTTTTTATATAAAATTTAGAAATCTATCTTATTGCAAATATATTTATCTTATTGATTTTTTAATCAGACTCTGTATAATGCCATCTCGTAGCATGTGAGATTCCTTTTGTCTGGTTTGTCTGAATTTCATGAAGAGCTTACGGTTCTTTGAAGCCGGACACTTCAAGAAATCTTAACCCAACATTTCATCAGTCGGTAAAAAAAAAAAAAAAAAAAAAAACAGAGAGACAAAAACGACATGTTGCTAAATAAGTTGAAAACAAGATCACTGTCAAAAGACTGATGATTTGTTCTTCGGCAAACAAACAGACTTAGATTAGGCGACCCATGTTCTTGCCACATGTACATGTGTATACCTCTGTGTGTGTATATATATATATATGAATGGTATGAACCGTGAACCCTGAAGCCAATTCAAGCTAATACCTCGTTTGAAGATTCGGATCGTTTCTTTCTCTCTCTGAAAAATCAGAATGGAGGGTTTGAGTTCGCTTTTGCTGTCGGATCAAACCACTCATCAGCCTGTTCGGTCTGTGAGTTTGCCCTCAAGAATCCACCCTCTCTCTGCTAAACTCCGAGCTGCTCTGAACCGCCTCAGTATCTGGCAGAGATCTTCTTCGTCGGTTTCGATCTCGGCTTCTTTCGGATCTGAAACACTTCATGTCGGGCTGATGAACCTCTCTGAGCTCTACGGATGTGTCCATGAACTCCTTCAGTCTCCTCATGTTCAAACCGCTCT